GAACAATCCTTTATGAAGCCGCGCGAAAAGACAACTCGACCGTCTCCATTTGGTGGTAGATCATACCATAACACAGTGTTCGTCAAGAAAATCTCTAGGTACGATGGTATGAGTTGATTAGTGACAACAGTTGTAATGCACACTCACCCCCGGTGCTTCTCGCAGGGCAGCTGCTTTATCGCGCAGATTATCGTTGGGTCCCCCGCCGATGGTCCCCACGAGTTCACGTGGCCCCTGTGCGTCAGGAAGTCTCTGGGCTGCAGGTTGTCCTTGGGCTGCAGGTGGTGCTTCTCCTATAGGCAGTCCTTGTGCTACAGGTGCTGCTTGTGCTACAGGCGGCCGGTGGGCTGCAGGTGGTGCTTGTGCTACAGGCGGCCGGTGGGCTGCATTTAGTGCTTGTGCTGGAGGATGCCCATGCGGCGCAGGGGGTCCCAGTGCTGCAGGCGGTGTTCGTGGTGCGGCAGGTCCTGGTGCTGGAGGTGGCGCCTGTGTTGTAGTTTGTCTCGGTGTTTCATCTCGTCCCTTAAATTATTAAAGGGCACGAATTCAGCACGATAAAACCGATAAAACTAGAGAAGTCTACGAGGCCCCGCTGACACTCACCTCGGCGTGGGCAGCCTTGGACGCCAGCACGATCCACATGATCTTGACGAGGGGGTCTTCGGTGTTCCTGACGGTCCCCGTCAGCTCGTTGCCACCCCCTTGCACGGTCACGTGCCAAGACTCGGCGGCGAGCAGGTTCAGAGCCAGGAGAGCCTGCTCGCCCTGGCACTCGTCCTGCAACCTCTGGAGTTGGGCGCTCACCTGGGGCAGCACGCTCTCTATGGTGCGCCTCAGAGCCCTCTTGATGGGCATGACGTCGTGGTCGCGGTCCCAGCAGAGGCGCGAGGCGGGGGCGCTGCAGTCCGAGCACCATGCGCCGCGGACCCTGCCGCTGGCGAACACAAGAGTTGTTGTTACCACTCCGGGTTCTGTGACACCACGAAGCAGTCTACGGAACACGGAACAACACTTCCGACCCTCGCCGTTGCCAGGGAGGGTGCCTCGCTGGCCTTGGCCAGACGAGGGGAAGGGGGGTAGGGAGGAGGGAGAGAAGGGGGAAGGAGGATGGTCCCATATACCGCACCTTCTGCTGGGCCCGATACTGAGACAAGCAGGCAACCTGCAGAGCATTTGCTCACCTTGGATCGCGTTGGCGTTCCAGCAGCCGCATCAGACTAAAGTTGTTGGGGAGGGACTCGGGGGTAACGCCGAACTCCTTATTCAGAAAAACAAAACAATGTTAAAGTTTCAAAAGAAAAACAAGGCTGAGAGAGAGACAGTCCCCTCGACCAGGCCACAAAACCTGAGCGCAGTGCGGTGTTATATTCAGTTAAAAAAGTCTACCGGGGGCGGCGCGCCCGGGGCGCAGGCGTGGCGTAGCGTGGATCCGGGGCGGGAGGCGCGCCGCCGCCCCCGGTAGACTTTTCTTAACTGAATATAACACGGGCCTAAGAAGCGCCATCGTCGTCACACCCGAGCGCCCGTCCAGCCCTATTCTAAACGAAAATGGTGAGGGAAAAGGGGGGGGGGCAGTTGGCACTATGGTAGAGACAGTCTTTGGGACTGTCTGAAAACAAGCAAAACATAGACTGTGGGAGCGGTCTCATAGTTTCCTCGGACTCACCGTGCGGCACGTTGGGCACTCCCTCTTTTCGCTGCGCTGGAGGCACTGCAGGCACACGGTGTGTGCGCACGGCACCACCGTCTTCGGGGCGCGCTCCTCCTGGTCGAACTCCTCCTCGCAGATGTCGCAGTCCATGTCGTTAGGTCCGATGTATATGTCCGGGTAGAGCCTGAAGCTTTGGCCGTGGCACCACTGCAGTTTAGACTGAGCACTGAAGAAAAAATCTCAGCCCTCAGAGACAACAGATTATAGCTACACTCTAAACTCAAGAGTCGTACAGTATGACACTTATAAGTGCAGAACCATCGTGTCATATAGTTGAAAGTGTGGGACCACGGTGTACTGCAGTTAAAAGTGTAGGGCAATAACGCGTGTAGGCCTACTACAGCGTACTACAGTTATGAAGTGTCAGACACCTCTTGTCCTACAGTTTAAACCGTAATACACGTGGTGTCCTACACTCAAAACTGACACCATGGTACTGCGCGTATAAGTGTGATACTGTACAACACTTTAGTTTCAGGGCTTTTGTGTTAGCTTTATCATATCACATTATCTTCCGGTAAATGAGAAACTAGCGGTCAGAGCCAACAACTAGTAACCAGCTGTACGAATAATTCGCTCATAAGGCAAGGACTAAGACAACTTCTAAATCAGCTTCGGTAGCGAATTCTTGGCTTTCACAGCTAGTTCCTCATGTTCGTCATTATTACAGGTCCGATAGTGCATGTGAGCCCCGGTTGCCTGCAGAACACCAGGGAGTACTCACCGTATAGCAGCACGATTGCGGGCAGACAATCAAACTGGAACTCTTTTTTTTCCTTTTTTTTTTTTTTACAAACAATTAACGCTCTTTTCTCCGCAAGGCCTCCACAAGATGCGCCCCTCCACGACGCTGCACGGCGGGCTGCACTCTCAGACTGACGTTGACTGCCGGTGACGACGACGGACGACGGGCTGGCCCAGCCCAGACGCGCGGACGCGGACGGCCCTGGCCGCCGGGCCACCAGATGGCCGAGGGATTACCACCGCCGGGGCTGCTTTAGGTAAAGGAAATACCCGCCCCTAAAACTCTGTTCAGGTAGGTCAGCCTCTTGTCACCGTAGGTCCAACCCACGGCCAAGCCTGTGCTCCCGGCCCGGCCCGTGCACTGCAACCATAACTGTGACAGCGGCGGGGCCGGCTGCCGAGGCTGGCGGGCAGACGTGCTCGGCAGCGGCCGGCAGGGCAGAATGTGGCCGTCAGCACTAGATAGATGGCCTGGCCAACATTGCGATATCAGTTACAGCCACCCTGCACGCACACCGAGTCAGGGCTACGACACGACAGTGTCGCGGGTTTGCCCAGGTTTCCCTGCTCCCAAGGGGGGCCATGGCGCCTTATGGATGGGCCGAGTAAGCAAACCGCAGGCACTGTTGTGCCGTAGCCCTGACACGCGGTAGAGCACAGCCGGCCAGGTGCGGTAATGAGTTTAGGACTGATCTAAAAGTGGGGTGGGGGCGACGGAGCACCACGTCCCCTGCGGCAGGCTGTGCATTTGGGGGGTTTGGGGGGCGTGACCACATAGCTGTGACGCCGCACCCAGGGACCGGTACAATCGTGGTCCATGCAGCCAACACGCGCCCTGTCGTCACATTCAGACTTACAGAGTCACGGACCGGCAAGACGTGCCGCCGGAGGGCCGCCGACACGCGGTCCGTCCTA